TATATTATGCTATATATTATATTATTATTTTATATTATACTATATACGATAATCTTTATAATATAATATTATATAATATATATTTATATTTATTATTATTATTACTATTATTATGAGACAGGATTTCACTCTGTATCCCTGGATACAGAACTGGCTATAGAGACAGGATGACCTCAAATTCACAGAGATCCTCCTGCCTCTGCCTTTTTAGTGCTGGGATTAAAGGTGTGTGCCACCATGATTGGCTGAATATTTTTATTTTATTTTATTGTGTTTATTTATTTCATTTGAGAGTTTCTCATTTTGTAGCCCTGGCTGACTTGGAACTTGCAATATAGGCCAGGCTGGTCTTGAACTCACAGAGATCCACCTGCCTCTTTCCTGTGTGTTGGAATGAAAGGTGTACCACAATGTCTAGACTGCTGTTCTTGGTCCTTTGGTTGGGAACAGACTAGGAAAGAAGCAGTGTCAGGCCCCTGGAAAGTCATTTGCAGGACATCGGGACAGTTCAGCTATTGAAGGAGAAAGAGAGACCAAAGTGTCTTCAAATTTAGAAAGTCTGACTGGACAATAGTGTTATGTCAAATGTGAGAAAAGCCAAAAGCAGAGCTGCTGTGTGGATGTCGACTTCCTTCTGGATACATTTAGTTGAGCCTTTGAGAGGCATATACATCAGGTGTCTGGACAGTTGTGAGTGTAACATTTGTTCCTAGCATTGTGCTGCTTGCTAGAGACAGCTGGGGAGTAACACAGATATTGCCCTCACTCTCTCACACTGTTTAGAGTACTTTGAACCCAGGAATCACACACCCTAATATGTCACTGTAAAGTGCAATTAGGGCCAAGTCAAAGGATGCAGTGTTTTGAGATGGGTCAGGAAGGAGATTGGTATTTACCCTAGTGATGGAGGTAGCTGGAGCTGGCACTTACACTCTGCCCTGTAGAATTAGAGAGGCCAAGACATTTGCAGGTAGAGTTTAGGACCAATTGGAGGCTACTACTTACCATGGTAAGATGGTGGGGCTTGGCTGGAATGGTAGCAGTGGAGCGGGACAGCAGAGGGCTAGCTTGGGATTCTTATAGAGGAAAATGATGGGTTAGGTGGTGGTGAACACAGGATGACCCACAGCCTCCAGACTTCCTGAGTGGGCTGTAGGAGGAGCAATAAGAATCTTGTAGAAATGCCTTTGATCCATGGAAGTGCAAGTATCAGAGAGGCTGGGCAAAGGACAGTGACCCGTGCATTGTGGGTGGGCTGTTTCCCTTATGTGCTGAGGGAAGGAGGAACAGAGCCTAGAGCTGGTGATGAACAGAAAGGGGTCTGTTTCCTGTACTCTCTGAAGGGTGTGTACATGCTATAGGAGGTGTGTTCATCATGGCACGCCTGTGGAGGTCAGAGGACAGCTTTCAGAGGTTGGTTCTCTTCTACCGTGGAGATTCTGAGGATTGACTTGGGTTGTCAGGTTTTGTGGCAGGTGCCTTTACCCACTGAGCTGCCTTGCCAGCTGCCCTCTTGTGAGGTTTCATGATGAACTGCCAGGCTTGTCAGTATTTCTGAGTAGCAGGCAGTTTCTTACCCTTGGTGCTAATGAGAAGCCATTTGTCTTGGCACCCCCACCCCCACCTCCTGCTCCCCTGCCTTTTCCTTTGAAAGGTGTGACTCTACTGTGTGTCTTCTCTCTGGGTACTGAGATGATGCTGCTGGTCTTGTTCCATCTTGCCTACCAGGAGATTTTGAGAGGAAGATGAGGGAGATGTTGGCACACATGTGCCTTTACAGTGGTCTGGGGGGCTAACATGGATCCCTCTGGCTCCTGCTTTGCTGATAACAGATCACCCACGTGTACAGCTCTGATGTACAGCGATGCCTTGGCTCAGAAAGGTGTTGCTACACAGTGAGTCTGTGCATGCTCCATTTCTCTTGCTGGCCTGTCTGTGACCCATGAAGCTATTTGAGTTTCAGGTAACTTAGTAACAACAAGGCAGTTTTTCCATGACATCAGCAAATTAAATGCGTGTAGCACACAAGAGAGTTTTTCTTCTTTCTTTTTTTGGTTTTTCGAGACAGGGTTTCTCTGTGGTTTTGGAGCCTGTCCTGGAACTAGCTCACAAGGGAGTTTTTAATCATGGCAAGAGTCCTTGGATATGAAAAGGTTCACCAGTGGTGATTGGTATTGTAGCCTTCCTCCTTCTGTCCTCCTGTCTTTCCCTTCCTCTGTCCTTTCCTCCCTCTCTTCTTCCTTTCCTTTTATCTGGTCCCAGTGGCCCTGGTGCCTCTGTTGGTCCTTGGCCATTGTCACTCAGAACAGCCAGGATGTCCTCAGTTCCCAGTTACTTCCTGCTTGCTGGGAGAAGCTCTTTGTTCAGCTCCTTTAATCCCTCTGTGTTAGAAAGATTACTTTACGAATGGATGTGAAGGCTTGAGTTATGCAATAGTGACTCTAGAGTAAGGGGCTCCCTAGGATCCCATATAATTCACAGAGCCCATCTTCCAGCTATGACAGTGCTGTCATGGGTGTGGGTCTGAGGCACCGAGGGTGAGGATACAAGATGACGGGAGCAAATGCTTGAGGGGAGGCCAGAATTTGCCAGGCTGCAATTCCTGGAGTTGAGTGCCACCTGCCCGAGGAAGAAGGGGAGCATGGCCTAGTGTGATGATTCAGGGCTGTGCTTTGGCTACAGTTAGCCAGAGAACAAATTGCCATGCTGGATGTTTTAGATCATCTGACAGGCAGACTCTTCCTCCAGGCTGGTCCATTGATTCTTGGAGAAGCATTCCTGGGAGCCAGAGATTCTGGGTTTTCCATTCTTGAAGGTTCTAGGAAAGCTCAGAAGCCACGAATCCTTAACCCTTGATTTATTTAATTCTGTTCTGGCTTTTCTTGGCTCTACTCCAGGGAAATACAGAGAGAACCGTCTGGCAGTACCACTTTCGGACCTGGCCGGACCATGGTGTGCCCAGTGACCCTGGAGGTGTGCTGGACTTCCTGGAAGAGGTCCACCACAAGCAGGAGAGCATCATGGATGCAGGCCCTGTTGTGGTTCATTGCAGGTGACAGCCCATCTTGGTTTCTTTTAAACTCAGAGGTCTGGGAGTCTGCTCTCTTTGGAGATGTGACCCAGTCTTCCCAGGACTCTGCTCTTTCAGCCTCCAGTCACTTCCCAGTTGGGGCTCTGGAGGCTGCTCCAGGGTCACATGGCAGAGTGTGTGGGCTATGGGATTGTATTTGGGATGGTTTGTTTCCTAAACTCTCACCTGAACCAATCTAGAAGGGAGGAAAACTTCCATTGTCCAGAGGTTTGGTTGACCTCCCCTGCTTCTTCCTTCCAAGTGCTGGGGTAGCAGGACTGTACCACCATGACCCCCCCCCCTTTGTTTTGTTTTGTTTTAAAACCACCATTAATGTAGGCTTTGCAGCTGGGTGGCTATTTAGGAAAGAAGTGAACACATTTCTTTCTTTGAATGTCTACTATGGCCTTTAAGACAGGAAGCCACGCGTCTGTGGGCAAGTTTCTATGCCCAGAAGTGCCATAATTTTCCAATTGTTTTCAAGTAAACTTGGGAGTAGAGAAAAGATGTCATGGGCTGCTCAGGGCCTCTATGCTCAGCACTGTGAACCTCGGGCAAGCCCCCATTGCACGGATGAGGAAACAAGGATACCCTAAAGGCCCATATCAGAAACAGGGAACTGACAGCTTAGGGATGGGGCGGGGAGAAACTGATGTGTACTGTGGCCAATGTCTTCTAGACCCACAGAGCAGAGCCTGTGGACATTAATGGTTTGATTCCAATGTGAAATCCCCACAAGTGACTCTAGCCTCCTGCTATTTATTCTTCTACCCACAGTGCTGGAATCGGCCGGACAGGAACATTCATTGTGATTGACATCCTTATTGACATCATTAGAGAGAAAGGTAGGTCATCTGGAGGGCAAGAAGGCACAGTTTCAGTTTCTAGTTTGTGAGAGGAGAGTGCCAGGGAAAGTAGCCTGGGAGAGAGAATTCACAGGAGAAAGAAGTGGTCGTTTAAATGTGGATGAGGTTTACTTTCAGTGAGTTCCCCTGTTGAGGTGTGTTATAAAACAGTGTCCTAGAGTTCTGCTCCCACCACTGTGCCTTCTGTTACCCCTGTTGTGAGCCCCTCCAGCCACTTGTTCCTTGCCTGTGAGGTGAGCTGGCATTCTTGGGAACTGAGGGGCTTTGGACCCTAGCACTTTGTCCGAACAGCTCCTGACATTGTCTTGAGCATTAGCTCAGGAGTCCTGTTGTGTTCCCTATGACTAGTGATGTGGGAAAGACTAGCTCTGTGTCCCTTCCTGCTGTGGAAAGTGGGTGCCCAGCAGCTCTCCCGGGCCTCATGCATTCCTGCAGCTTCAGAATCTTTGTTTTGCAGGTGTGGACTGTGACATCGATGTTCCTAAAACCATTCAGATGGTGCGGTCCCAGAGGTCAGGGATGGTCCAGACAGAAGCACAGTACCGGTTCATCTATATGGCCGTCCAGCATTACATTGAGACGCTTCAGCGCAGGATTGAGGAGGAGCAGGTATGGAACGAGGGGCTGGCACATGGCTCAGCTCCAGACCAGGCCGCCTGGACTTGTGCTCTTAGAGTGAGAACATGGGCTTTCTTTTTCTAGAAAAGGTTAACACGGATTCCCACCCCTGTGGTCTCTCTGGAAGGTATGGCCATCCTCTGCCTTCTAGGTCAGCGAAGTGTGGTGCTATTGTCATGAGCTGACAGTCCAAGGCTTTGCCATACAGAAAGGAAGTGACTTTTACGTGCCAGACTTAGAACTCAGCCTACAGTTTCCAGCTTGCTTCAGCTTTGATCTAGGCTGGTCTATCCTGATTTCATCTTGTAAAATGAATGCCTTGTTCTTAATAGAGCATGGCAGTTTGAGCCACTAATTTGGCTGCATTGAAACAGTGAATTTCAATTTTAATAAGCTGTGCATAATGAAGAGTGTGCAGTTGGAGCCTTTCCATGTGAGGCTATTCAGAACAGATACAAAGCTGAGTTAATTAGGATGCGATAAGCAGAGGGAGATGAGGAGAGCTGTTCTTTTTGGGGAGCTTTGCTTATTCCCCTCCCGAACCCCATTTGCTGCAGCAGATGGATGATATCTGAACACCAGCCACATTTGTCCTTTTTACTGCTATTGCTTTCCAGAAATCACAAGAGAGGGGACTCAGTGTATGTCACAATGTGGCAGGCTGTCTCTTAATGGGTAGCTTTATTTTTTTTTAAAGACCATCTCACTGTGTAGCCCTGGCTGACCTGAAACTCACTATGTAGATAAGGCTGGTCGCGTACTCATAGAGGTGCGGCTGCCTCTGTCCCCCAAGTGCTGAACAAAGGTATGTGCTTCTTTACCTGGCCTAGAAAGATAGAACCACATCATCAGCCTTGGCAGCCAGAGGGAAGTGCCCCTTTCTGAGCTTAGGTACTCACCCAGACACCCATGTTAGGCTTCATTGTGCATACATTGAGAAATAAAGTGTACATAGATATGTAAGGTCATATGATTGATTGACAAGCCACCTATCCTGAACTTCAGTGTTTTAAATCTGAATTCAACGTGAGCCATATATATTTATGTGGCTCTAAAGAACAAACCCAGAGCTTCATGCTTTCTAGGCCAGCACTCCACCACTAATCTGTACCCCTGACCTCTAAATGTAGATGATTACTCTAAAGTTCTTTTATACATGACTTCCAGTTACATTAATTGGGGCTATTAATAGTTTAAGAGGTGCTCAAAGAATAAATTTAAAGAGGTGGCACTATGATTGCTCAGTCTGGCCAGGGACAATTCAGGAGCACACTGCTATCTTGCCAGGGGTTCTCTGTTTCGCTTGGATTTGTATGCATGTTAGAACTGAGAGGTAGAAACAGGTAGATCAGAAATTCAAGGCTATCTTTGGCTATGTATTAAGTTCCTAGTCATTGTGAGCTGTGTAGGACTTGGCCACAAAAAATCAAAACAATAACAAAAAGAAACCACCGCTACACGAAAAGAACCAACCTTTTCCCCCCACTTATTTTTAAATTTATTTAAAATATGTATGAGCCTCACATGTGGGTATGTGTCCTCAGATCCCTGGAGCAGGATGTGCACTTGCTATGTGCAGCACTGCTGTGGGGAACGTGTGCTTCCCGCTGCAGGAACACTTTGTTTGCACTCCTGTTTGTTTGTTTGGTTTTTTCAAGACAGGGTTTCTCTGTGTAGCTTTGGATCCTGTCCTGGAACTTGCTCTGTAGACCAGGCTGGTCTTTAATTCACAGAGATCCACCTGCTCTGCCTCCCAAATGCTGGGACTAAAGGTGTGAGCTGCCACCGGCCGGCCCATTTTGCACTCTTACCCACCGCCATGGCTCCTCTTAAGCCAGGCAAATCCTTGAATTAAGGAACAGGACAAAACTCATTCAGGATAATGAATTATTTTGAAATGTAGTAATTTTCCAATTTAGGATGAGTTAAAGCCCTTTGGGAGTAAAAGAATTTGCTAGAGAAGGATAAATGAAAACAAGAAAGTGACATTTGGGTGGAGAGCCATGGGAAAGGAGGGGGAGAGAAAGAGAGACAGAGATAGAACATACACACTTGCCAGCAAGAAGGGGAAGTGGTGTTAGGGACAGTCATGAGTGTCTGTGTATAATAGGCCTCTTTGCAGTTTGAGAGATTGTTTTTAAAAATTTCCATTTATAGTAGTAAGTACTTTATTTGCAAAAGCAGTATGTGGTATTTCTTTATCTGACTTATCTGAATGTGAGATGTTAACACAAGCATTCATTCTCTCTTTAAACTTTGAAATGTATGCAATATTTAAAAAGGAACATTTATAAGTATTTATATCTCTTTGCTTCTAAGTGCGTTGGTATGTATTTTCAAAAATATAAGGATATTCTGTTACCTAGTCATGATTTAGTTACCGAGTTGAGGAAGCGGACACTGATAGAAAGCTCTGTGTAACCTCAGATCAGGACTGGGGCTGTAGCCCAGTATGAGAACACTTACAGGATCCTGAGGTCCATCCCAGTGTTATATACAAGCATACCAGGTAGAGCTACACACTTGTGAAATTCCAGTGCTTGGGGATTCAGGCAGGAGGACTGAAAATTCCAGTCTAGCCTAGGCTACATTAGACCATCTTTTGATAAAACCGAAACCAAGCAAGAAACCAAAAATCTGTCCTGCTTTTGTAGAGGACCTGAGTTCATTTCCTAGCACCCATGTCAGGTCAGACGGCTTAAAACTGTAGGAAACCTCAGCTCCAGGGCATTCAACCCCTGCCCCCAGTTCTGACTTCCTTGGGAACCTGGTCTCGTGTGTGCACATGCGTGTCCACACACACACCCCAGAAAGCTAAAATAACCCACACACCACATTCAGATTTTACAAGCTGTCCTGTCTGTGGTCAGAGTCACACCATGTTCGCAACTGTCATGTTTCTTTGCCTGTCTTTCTTCTGAGTAACTTCTCTGTCACACTGTCACTCTGTCCTCCATAGTTGGGAAGCTGCCTGTTGTTTCCTCTCCCAGAGACTCCAGTCATTCTGTGTTGTGCCCATTGCTGAGTTGATTCAAAACAGTCAGGTTAGCTTTGCTCCTTGAAGGTGACAGTCAGGTTTCTTCACTCATAAGTTATTACAGGAACCACGTGTGCATGCATGTGTGTGCACACACACATACACACACACAGATACAAGTACACACAGACACACATTGAGACTCATACGTATACATCTATCTTACTTGGGGAAGAAAGATTTGGACACATTTAACTGAGGATGTGGCACAGTGCTTAACTAGGATGGCCCGAGCTTTGGGCTTGATGTCCACCATGAGAGGGAGGTGGGTGGGTGAGGAAGTAGCCTATTTCTTACTGTATTTTTTTTTTGCCTACTAGTTATACATTGATATAATGTATATATTTATATACATACATACATACACACACACACATATATATTTTGAAGCAGGATTTCTCTATGTAGCCCAGGCTCTCCTAGAACTCTCCCTGTAGACCAGGCTAGCTTTGAACTCAGAGATCCGCCTGCCTCTGCCTCCCAAGTGCTGGGATTAAAGGTGTGCACCATCACCACCTGGCTCTTTTTTTTTTAATGAATGAATGAATTTATTTTTATCTGCCTTGGTGTTTTGCCTGCATGTGTGTTTGTTTAAGGGTGTTGTGTCTCCTGGAACTGGAGTTACAGTTGTGAGCCACCTTGTGGGTGCTGAGAATTGAATCTAGGTCCTCTGGAAGAGCAGCCAGCATTCTTAACCACTGAGCCATCTCTCTAGCCCGAGTAATTCTTGCCTATAAAACATTAGCATAGCATTTGACAAATGACGCTTGCTATTTCTTCAGTTGTCTCCCTTTTCTCAGTTTGAGTGGAACAGTAAAAATTATGTATATTGCTGGGCATAATGGCACACGCCTTTAATTTCAGCACTCGGAGGCAGAGGCAGGTGGATCTTTGAGTTTGAGGCCACCCTGGCCCTAAATTGCTAGTTCCAGGCTAGTCAGAGCTATATAGTGAGATCTTGTTTCCCACCAAACAAAAGTACTGTATATATGTATTGAGAATGTACAGTGTATTTGGTGTGTAGAAACACTGTGGCGTGATTGCCACGGTCAGGTGGATCATCACACCCAGCACCCTGCAGCCCACTTCTTCCTGTGTGTGCTGAGACCGTGGAGTCTACTCTCGGCAGAGTTCCAGTTTCCTCTGCCCTGTCCAGTCTAGTGCTGAGTGTGAGGCCTCCAGAGCTTAGGATGTTATGTTTGAGGATCTGTACCTGCGACCAATGTCTTCCCACCACTAGTTCCTGATGACCCCTGCCCCATCACAGTTTTTAGGAATTGATCAGGATCCATGGAGTGCTTGGCCTTTTGTGTTCTGACATCTGTCACTCAGCTTGATGACCTCCAGGTTCACTTGTGTTATTGCAGATGGGTTGCCTTCTTAAGCTGAATGATGTCCCATTTTGTGTGTGTGTGTGTGTGTGTGTTTCTGTGTGTGTGTGCTTCCTCCTTTGCTATCTGTCTCCTTCCCTCTTTCTTTCCCTACCTTCATCCTTTCCATGACTGGAAACTTGTGACATGGCTTGGTCATGTCTTGGTGTGTAGGAAACAGGGATGAGACCAGAAGCACAACACCTGGGGACCTAATTCTACTTGCTGATCACATGTCAAAGGTTCTGTCAGTTCCCCAAACACCATCACCAGCTGAGGGCTAGGTGCTCAAACACGAGGCTGTGGGACCTTTCCATGCAGGCTGGAGCAGGGCCTTGGGAAGCCTGCACACTATTCTATGGAGGCCATTAGGCAGTTGGAAACAGAGGAGTGGTATAAAATATCCTTGATTTAAGAGAGGACCCTGCCTCCCATGGAACAGTGAACACCAGGATTGGGCACTGGAGCCAAAACTGATGATGATGTATATAGGTGGGAGGCTGAATGGGGGAGGGTTAGAAAGGTAAAGACTCCCTGACGGGGGTGTGGGAGAAGTCAAGTTGTGTGTTCCAGCCAGGGTCAATTGCTCTCCCATCCTGCTCTTGGCCTTTAGAGTTTAGGAAAGGTCAGAATATCTGCCCATGGAAAGTGCTTCACTGCAGATGGCTTTAGCCTGCCTGCTCCTGAGCATCAGTTGGCCATAGATGAATCACAGACTTGCAGAAATCGGGGGTTTCTTAGATACTGGAAACACAAAGCCTCCCCTCACCTGGAAGTAAAACAGAACCCCTCATCCCCATGGGGCTGAGACAAGCCCATCTGGCTCATCGAAATCTTCCTAAATGACTGGAAGAATCTGAGCTTCTTGGGCTGCTCTCACCACCCAGATAGTTCTGCTCTGCCATATCAATTGCTCCTCTCTAGAAAACACTGGCCACTTTGTGCAGAAATAATTGGTTTTGGCTTTCAAGAAGGTATTGAGTAAGGAAAAAGGAGGTGGTTGCTGTCAGAGGGAATGTCTTCACTGCCATGCAAGTTGAGAAAGTTTTGTAGATCTTCTGTGCAGCACGAATATACTTGGTACATGCAGATGAAGTTTTGCTAGCTGGAGGAGCTTCTCCTGTTTTTGCTCTAATTCCTTTTGTGACCATCACCCATCTTCTCCTCCCACACCTTCCTTTGCTCTTCCCGTCTTCTTCAGTGTCAGAGATGAGATTTGAGACAAGGTCTCTTCCTTTCTTTTAAAATATTTATTTTATTTATAATTCTATGTTATGTGTGGGTATGTTTGTGAAGGTCAGAGGCGTCAGACATCCTGGACCTGAAGTTATAGGCAGGTGTGATCTATCTGAGACTTGATCTTTCCTGTTATGCCATCTCTCCAGCCCAGAGTTGAGGTTAGGTTCCTGTTTCTCCTGCCTCCTTCTCCCAGGTGCTGTGATTCTGGGTGTGCACAGCCACTGGGCTTGTTTTCCTTCCCAGGGTGTGCTCTTACACTCCTGTGGCTCAGGAGCTCTCCTTGCTGCTCATTTCCCCAGAGTGAAGAGAGAGTGGTCACCAAGGAGTCACGGCTTTGATTGGATTTGTTGTCACAGATGCCTTGTTGCCTTTGCTCTGGGAGCACATCCATGTGTGGTGTTTAACTCCTTACCCAGTGTAGTTGTCCCTCAGCATCCAGGGAGACTTAGTCTTAGACACAAGGTCTACAGATTCTCTTGTCCCTTGGGGAAGGTCTTAGCTTTTCAGAGAACCTGCTCTGTCCTCATGTAGCCCAGGTTGGCCTTGAACATGGGAAAAGCCTGTGCGTGCTTAGTACAACATTGTGGATATTTTTGATTCATGGTTGAATCTGTGTAGAAGCCACAGATATAGAGGGTGACTGTATGAAGTTGATAATGTTCCCTCTCTCACCCCCTCTGCCTCAGCCCAGAGTGGGGCTGGGATATTAGAAATGGCCCTGTAGAATGTAGGCTTGTGCTGTGATATCTCTCTGCAGGGACCCCATCCTCCAGGGCTCACCTGAACTTTGGGTGTCAGCACCTTCCTGAGGAGTTTGTTGCAGTGTGAGTAGCTTATGTCTGGTATCAGCTGCCTCCTTCCTGTGTGTGCAGGCTGGTGTGCTGTGCTCCATGGTCTGTGTGCAAGGACCTCGGTCCTGAGTACTTGTCTGCTGGGCTCCAGTCAGTCTCTGTCTGGTAATGTAGCTCAGTTTCTCTTTGATACCTCTGCCCCCTGTCATCTGTCTACATTCCTGGAACCCCAGAGCAACCCTAAGCTTCATACTATATTTACTTGTCTTCATGTAGAGAAAAGAGCCAATATAGCCCAGACTTGCCTCTGACTCCGAAGCTGAGGATGAACTTGAACTTCTGATCCTCTCTGAGTTCTATCTTCCTAGTACTGAGATCATGAGTGGTTAGTGTGCTCTGGGGATGGAAGCCAGGGCGCCTATGCTGGGCAAGCAGTCTACCAAATGGGCCACAGCTTTCGTTCCCAAAGTGGCTTCCTTTGTTTAAAGGACATCTCCTGGAGAAGAGGTTCAGTCACTAAGAGACCTTGCCACTCTTCCAGAGTTCCTGAGTTCAGTTCCTGTTAACAGATGTTGGCAATTATAACAACAGCCTATAACTTCAGTTTCAGGAAATCTAATGTTCTTTTCTGGCTTCCAAGGGCACTTTGACACATGTGGCATGCACACAAATAGAGCATTGTACATATATCAATTAAACACAAATATAGACATCTTGAAACTGCATAGACCCCATTGTTCACTAGTTCAGATATTGACCAGTGGGATCCGGATTATTATTGTGTCTTTTACTTATCATTTTATTTTTTATAGCTTATTTTTTATTATATGTGCATTGGTGTTCTGCCTGTTTTGTCTGTGTGAGGGTGTCAGGTCCCCTGGAATTGGAGTTACAGACAGTTGTGAGCTACCATGTGGGTGCTGGGAATTGAACCCAGGTCCTCTAAAATAGGAGCCAGTGTTCTTAACTGCTGAGCCCATCTCTCCACACCCCCCAGGCTTATTTATTTATTTATTTATTTAT